TGGCAAAAAAACACATGAAAAGATGCTCAACATCACTCATTATCAGAGAAACGCAAATCAAAACCACAATGAGGTACCATTACACGCCAGTCAGGATGGCTGCTATCCAAAAGTCTACAAGCAATAAATGCTGGAGAGGGTGTGGAGAAAAGGGAACCCTCTTACACTGTTGGTGGGAATGCAAATTAGTACAGCCACTATGGAAAACAGTGTGGAGATTCCTCAAAAAGCTGGAAATAGATCTGCCATATGACCCAGCAATACCACTTCTAGGCATACACACTGAGGAAACCAGATCTGAAAGAGACATGTGCACCCCAATGTTCATCGCAGCACTGTTTATAATATCCAGGACATGGAAGCAACCTAGATGCCCATCAGCAGACCAATGGATGAGGAAGCTGTGGTACATATACACCATGGAATATTACTCAGCCATTAAAAAGAATTCATTTGAATCAGTTCTAATGAGATAGGTGAAACTGGAGCCCATTATACAGAGCGAAGTACGCCAGAAAGATAAAGACCATTACAGTATACTAACACATATATATGGAATTTAGAAAGATGGTAACGATAACCCTATATGCAAAAAAAGAAAAAGAGACTCAGATGTATAGAACAGACTTGTGGACTCTGTGGGAGAAGGTAAGGGTGGGATGTTTCAAGAGAACAGCATCAAAACATGTATATCTAGGGTGAAACAGATCACCAGCCCAGGTTGGATGCATGAGACAAGTGCTCGGGCCTGGTGCACTGGGAAGACCCAGAGGGATGGGGTGGAGAGGGAGGTGGGAGGGGGGACCGGGATGGGGAATACATGTAAATCCATGGCTAATTCATTTCAATGTATGACAAAAACCACTGCAACGTTGTAAAGTAATTAGCCTCCAACTAATAAAAATAAATGGAAAAAAGAAAACAAGAAAATACATTGAGAATCTGAGGGTACTGGTCAGATTCTATGCATTCTAAGGTTTTTAACAGTGTTTGACTATTAGATAATTGCAAGTAAATAAGCAACACTCATGTAAACCATAATATACTTATTAGGATGCTGCCACTGACAATGGAAGTGTAGGGAGAACTCAAGTTCCATTTCTCTACTGAAACAGTGATTGATCTGGCAAAAACTATCAGAATCAACTTTTATAAAACATAGGAATTTAATGAAAATCTTACAACAATCAAAGGACTGTTTTATGAAGAAAGAAGCTGCTAAGCTTTTGTAAAAGAATATCATGGAATTTTGCTTACCTGCCTACCACCCTCCCCATTACCTAGATTACAGGTGGCCATAGGGATGTAAGACAATGTTTCTTGTGAAACTTCCTGGTGTCACTGAGGTAAAAAACACAATATAGACCTTGCACTAAAAAAAATATTATACATTAAGTCCTAACTTGTAATCCCTATGGAAGCTGCTAGAGGATTTGTTTCACCTCTTTGAGATCTCCATCAGGGCTGGAAAGATCCTTCTATGACAATTATTGAAAACATTTAAAGATATACACTACCTATTGCCACCTGGGGTAAGATACAACAGATGGAGCAAGCAGAAAATAGACCAAAAATTCTATAAAGTAAAAGGTTTGGGTAGGGGGATATGCATTGGAAATAAAGGTGTTAAAGACCTCCTTTATGGGATTCCAGAAGACAGTTACATATGACCAACGCTAGATGAAGTTTCAGAAAAGAACTGAGAAGACCATAAGCTTCTCTTTCTGGTTATCGTTAAGCGATCAGTTTAGGATAAGGCAGAAATGCCAATAGTCTGACTAAGCATTGAAGGAGAAATAATATTTAAAATAATAATGTCTGAAAACCCTTCAAAATTGATGAAATACATGAATCTACACGTCCAAGAAGCTCACCAAATCCCAAATAAAATGAATGTTTAAATATTCATAGCAAGACACATAAGGGAATACCCTTATTTAAAGTCCTGGGAAAAAATGTCAACAAAAAATTTCATATCCAGCAAAACTAACCCTCAAAAATGAAGAATAAATAAGGACATTCTCAGAAAAAATAAAAGCAAAACGAAATACTAGCACTAGATCCAGCCTCAAAAAAGCAGCAAACAAATCAATAAACTCAAGCTATATGAAAATATAAAGAACACCAAACAAACTAGTAGGTAAATGTAAAAAGTACTATTATTGTATATTTGATTTGCAATCATTTTTTCTCTATAATATTTAAAAGACACATGAATACACAAAAATTATAAATCAAGTTAATGAGCACATAGCATATAAAAGATATAACCTGCAACAATACCACAAATAGGGAGAGATGAGGTAGTATAAGAGAAAAAACTTATGTACCATCTAAATAGGTATTAATGCAAACTATCTTTAGATAAATTTATATTGGTTTATGTATGGTTCTCATCATAATCATTAAGAAAAAATATTTTAAAATATACAGAAAAAGAAATAAGAAGGAAATGAAAATGATGCCCTACAAAAGTTCAACACAGAAGGCAGCAATGAAGAAAGAAAAAGAATACAAATTGTATAAGATATATATAAAAAGGCAAAATGGCAGAAGTCCTTCCTTATCAGTTATCACTTTATATATAAAAATTTTTAAGCTCTCCAATAAAAAGGCAGATGAGCAAATTAGATTTTTTTTCTTAAATGACCCACCTGTCTGCTGTCTACAAGAAATTCAATTTAGATGCAAAGATACAATACAAATTGAAAATGAAGGGATATAAAATCAGATACTATGTAAACAGTAATCAAAAGAGAGCTTGGGCAATTATACTAACATCAGATGAAACAGACTTTAAGTCAAAAATTGGCACAAGAGACAAAGAAAGATACCACATATTCATGAAAGCATCAATCCATTGAGAAAATATAACAATTATAAACAGATTCTCAAAACAGAGCCCAGAGTATATGAAGGAAAAATGGACAGAAATGAAGCAAGAAATAACTCTACAATAATGAGGTATTCAATGTCCCACTCTCAGTGTTGGATAGAATAACTAGACAGATCAGTGAGGAAAAAGAGAAACTGAACAACACTGTAAACCAACTAGACCTAACAGACAAATTTAGAACATTCCTCCCAAAAACATCAAAATGCACACTCTCCTCAATGCAAGCAAAATATTTCCCAAAGACAGATCAAAAATATTAGGTAACAAGGAAAATGTAAATAATATTTAGCAAATTAAAAGCATATAAAATATCTTTCCCAAATACAGTGGAATGAAACCAGAAATCAATAACAAAATGGAAACTAAAAATTTGCATGTATGTGGAAATTAAACAGCACACTCTTCAATAACAAATCATTCAAAGAAAAAAATCACAAAGAAAATGAGAATAAATTAAACATCTCATTAAATAAATGAGATAATTTAAAATAAAAGCATTGCATAAAAAAATTTACAGGATGAGACAAAAGCAGTGCTCAAACAGAAATGTATAGCCTTAAATGTCCATTGAAAAGGAAAGAAGATCTCAAGTCAGTAATAGGGCTTTTCACCATAAGAAACCAGAAAAAGAAGAGAAAATTTGAACTCAAAGCTAGCAAAAGGAAGAACATAATAAAGATTAATATATAAAGAAAATTAAGAACAGAAAAATAAGAGGGAATCTGCAAAAACAAAAGTTGACTCTTAGAAAATATTTTTTTTAAAAAACTGGTAAATTTACAAGCAGATTAACTAAGAAGAATGAAAGAAAATGAAAATCATTAAAATCAAAAGTGACAGTGAAGCCATTACTATAAACTTATAGATATAGAAGTGATTATAGGACAATATTCTAAACAATTGTGTACCAACAAAATGGATAATTTAAAGTAAATTGACAAATTTCTAGAATTACACAAACTTCCAAAATTAACTCAAAGAGAAATTTAAAATTTAAACAAATCTGTAACACATAAGGAGACCGAATCATTAATTAAAAACTCTCCAAACTGAAAGACACAGTACCAGATGTCTTTGCTGCTGAATTCTACCAAACATTATAAGCAGAATTTGCACCAATCCTTTTCAAGCTTTCCAAAAAAATGGAAGAAGGGATGCCTTCTAATTTATTCCATGAGATCAGCATTACCCTGATGTCAAAACCAAAAAACAAAACAAAATATCAAAGGGAAAAAAAGTTATAGTACAATAAGACTTTTGAATATAAAAGCTAAAAAAATTCTCAACAAAATACTAGTAACTGAATTCAACAGTATATAAGAAGGAGTATACACCATGACTGAGTGATATTTATCTCAGGAATGCAAATACATTTCAACAAAAGAAAATAAATGTTATACATTGTATTAAGAGAATTAGGGGAAAAATACATTATTATCTCAACTGATGGAGAGAAAACATTTGACATATTTGAATATTTCATGATTTAAAACAAGTCAGCAAAATAGGAGAATATGAAAGACATTTATAAGAAAATCCCCAACTACCATCATACTCAATGGTGAAAGACTTTTTTCACCATAATATCAGCTATAAAACAAGAACGCCCACTTTTGGCCCTGCTATTTAACATTTTACTGTAAGTTATAGATGGGTAATTCAGCAAGTAAAATAAGTAAAAGACCTTCAAGTTGGAAAGGAATAAGTAAAACTAATCTAACCACAGGTAGCAAGGTCCTATACACAGACAATCCTCAAGTTTACACACACACGCTATTGAAGCTAATGAACCAATTTATTATTGTTGTAGAGTACAGTATCAAAATACAAAAATCAGCAATTGTATTTCATTGCACGAACAATGAATACAAAATAAGAAAATAATATGGTTTATAATAGAAACAAAAAATAAAATATCTAGGAATTAATTTAACCAAAGATGTAGAGGACCTGTACAGAAAAGAATAAGATCTTGCTTAATGGAATTAAAGACTTAAATAAATGGGAATATATCCATGTATATCGATTAGAAAGTTTAGTATTTTTAAGGTGGAAACAATACCTAAAACCCAATAATACCCAAAAGATATAATGCAATCCTTACCAAATCTTGAAAGTCTTTCTTGCAGACATTTAATGCTGAGTTGAGAATTCATACAAACTTGCAAGGGATCCCACATAAATAAAACAATCGTGAAAAAGAAAAACAAAGATGGAGGATTCACACATCTTGATTTCAACATTCGGCACAAAGCAGTAGTAACAGAAGCACTGTGAGACCAATGTAGGAATAGACTTACAGATAAATGGAATAGAACCGAAAACCCGGGAATAAACCCACACACCTAGAGCCAATTAATCCTTGACAAAGTGGGCAAGGACACACAATGCAGAAAAGACAGTCTCTTTGGCAAGTGGTGTTGGGAAACCTGGACAGCAGTCATGTAACTCGATGAAGTTATAACACACAACAGGTATTTCAAAATAAGTAGATTCAAACCAAAATTCAGAATTACCCACAACTCACTTCTGTCTATTCCTCCCAAATCTTTCCCACCTGAGAAAATAACAGCACTGTTCAGCTGTTGTGACCAAAAGCTGGGAAGTCATCACTGAGGTCTCTCCTTCAGCCCCTATGTCCAATTATGATGTCTTATTGAGTCTGCTTCCACACTGTACCATACTGTCTACTCTCTTCATCTCCAGTGTTACTCCTCTAGTCAAACCCCTTCTGTCCATTACCTAATCCAGTGCAACGGCTTGCCATTTTTGCCATTCTTCCATTTTTGCCTTCCTAAAATATCTCCGTGCAATAAAAGAAGTGATCTTTTTAAGATGAAATCAGATTACACCATTTCTTTACTAAAAATCTACTCTAATTGCTTTCTATTTCATATAGAATAAAATCCACTTTCTTACAAAAACTCATGAGGCCCTTCATTATATAGTCCTATCAATTTCTGAAACAAGGATAAACAAGGAAAAGAGATATAGGATAGTGAATATACTGAGATTATAGAAGAAATAAAACTACAGTGCAATGGTGAAAGCATGCTAAATCATCTTCCATGGAAATGATAGTAGATAATATTTAAATAAGAAAAGAGCTTAAAACTATTTTATTTAGAAATACTGAGGCATTTAATAAGAAAAAATTATTTGAATGATTCAGTAAGAGTCAAACTTTTTCTTATAAATTATTTAATGAATAGCGAAGGAGAGGGAAACCTGGCATGCTTCAATCCATGGGGTCACAAAGAGTTGGACACCACTTAGCGACTAGACAGCAGTAACATTTATTTAATGGCGTCTCCCCAGGTGGAACTAGTGGTGAAGTATCCACCTGCCAATGCAGGAGACATAAGGATGTGGGTCTCTGGGTCAGGAAGATTCTCTGGAGTAGGAAATGGCACCCCACTTTAGTATTATTGTCTGAAAAATTCCATGGACAGAGCAGCCTGGTGGGTTACAGTTGATGGGGCCACAAAGAGTTGGACACAACTGATAGACTGAGCACACATTTATTTAGTGAATGTAAAGTGATTGCAACTTAATTTTCAAGAGGTAGATAATTTCTTGGATATGAAAAATATATCAGAATACAGAGCCTACTGTTTCCCAACTGATTTTGCAATGCTAACATACACCTCTTATCACAAACTGATAAAAGAAATAAAATCTCAATTGTTTTATAAAATCTAATGATAAGTTATAAATATATGATTAATAAAAAAAAGAAAAAAGCCCAGCAACATTGTAAAAGAATAATACAACATGGCAAGTTAGGAATTATTCCATGAATGAAAAGATTATTCTATCATTAGAATATCTATCAAGTTTCCTTTCACTAAAATATGTAAGGATAAATTTTATGAAGAACCATTAGAAAGAACTTGGTAAATTTTGCAGCCACATCTCATCAGTCTTTAAGCATGATACTGTAGAAAGTTTCTAAGATCAATTAGTATTGAGGGAGGAAACAAAAGAAAAAATCTACTTTTAATATAAAGTTACTAAGGGCAGTTTCATTAAAATCAGAAAGAAGACAGGCCTGCCCCCTATTGCTTCTGATATTGAACAGTGATGGGAAGTTTCTAAGGAATGCCATGAGAGAAGGCACTGAAAATGAATTAAAAATCCTGTATAATATGTGGGAGGCAGCATTATCATTTTTGATAAATGATGAGATTATATATCATTAGAAACCTAAAAGGCTCTACTAAAAATATCAAAACAATAAGAATCCAGCTATAAATCTTTTTTCACTATCATTAACAAGAGAGATAAAGAATTAACAAAAATCAGCAAAATGATAAAACAGAGTAAATAAAAAGGAATGCCAAAAGACCCTCTTGCAGAATCACTATTTAATTGCATTAAATGGCAAAACAGGACAAAAATAAATAAAAAACTCATTTTCCATTATGTAAAAACCTAACATAATTCAAATAGTGAAAATCCCTCAGTTGTATTCAACTCTGCGATCCCATGGGCTATATAGTCCACGAAATTCTCCAGGCCAGAATACTGGAGTGGGTAGCCTTTCCCTTCTCCAGGGGATCTTCCCAATCCAGGAATTAAACCCAGGTCTACCAGATTATAGGTGGATTCTTGACCAGCTGGACCACAAAGGAAGCCCAAGAATACTGGAGTGGGTAACCTATCCCTTCTCCAGAGGATCTTCCCAACCCAGGAATCAAACCGGGGTCTCCTGCATTGCAGGCAGATTCTTTAACAACTGAGCTGTCAAGGAAGTCCCAACACTATTCAAATAGCTTCTCCCTAATAATAATTACCATGGTGGTGGTTTAGTGGCTAAGTCATGTCCAACTCTTTGTCACCCCAATGGACTGTGGTCCACCAGGCTCCTCTGTCCATGGAATCTTCCAGGCAAGTATACTCGAGTGGGTTTTCATTTCCTTCTCAGGGGATCTTTCCCATCCAGGGGTTGAACCTGAGTTTCCTGCATTGAGGGCGAATTCTTTACCAATTGAGCCACCAGGGAAGCCCATATAAATTAAATATATATTAATTATTAATTGATATAACTAATTTAATATAATTAATAATGTATTAATTAAATCATAATTGTCCTCAATGTTTTGAGCTGTTTAAATGCTCTTGTAGGTGGTGAAAGGAATTGACAAACCGATTTCTCTAATTATGAGTCTCAGTCATAGGACTCTCATTTCCCTGGCTGGTGATTGGTTTAATAATGGGCCTATGGCCATTTTTGGTCAATTAGACATGTTAGAACAGAGAAGGCAATGGCACCCCACTCCAGTATTCTTGCCTGGGAAATCCCATGGACGGAGGAGCCTGGTGGGCTGCAGTCCATGGGGTCGTGAAGAGTCGGACACGACTGAGTGACTTCACTTTCACTTTTCACTTCCATGCGCTGGAGAAGGAAATGCCAACCCACTCCAGTGTTCTTGCCTGGAGAGTCCCAGGGACGGGAGCCTGGTGGGCTGCCGTCTGTGGGGTCGCACAGAGTTGGACACAACTGAAGCGACTTAGCAGCAGCAGCAGCAGCAGCAGCCATGTTAGACAGTCTGTAGGTAAGACTTCTGGGAAAGTTTCCACTGCTCCCACAATATAGGTATAGGAAGAGTCCCAGCCTCATCTCCCCTGAATACCCAAATAGGAAACCTGGGCCTGGAATCATTGTTACCAAGACAACAGAGGATGGGAAAACACAGATGACACTTGAACTACTTCTGATGAGAAACAATGCATTTATTTATCATTCAAATCAGTTTGGTCAAGATTACTCACTGTTTAAAGCAGCCCAAAAGATATCATTGAACTGCATATTTGAAAAAGCAAGCAAATCTAAACAAGATTTGTTTAGTAGATTCCTGCTACAAGTCAGAAAGATATGTACTAGATAAATAATCAAAGAGGCAGAAAATATTGAGGTATACCTTTGAAAGAAAATACCAACAGTGTAGTATAATTGAAGTCATTCTAACCATAAGAATACCTGGCATAAGAAGGAGAATTTTGTGTTAACATGTATTTTTCTAATACCCCACATTTTCTTTTTTTTTTTCCCAGAGAGTCACTCATATGCACATTTGAATGTCATGAATAGCCTTCAAAAAAGAAGTATGATAGCCTGAAATATGGAAAATAAACACAGGATCTTCAGACCAGGCTTGCTCTTTCCATCTCTGCTGATAAACCCTCCTGAGAGTGCTTTAATGGGATGTATTTGAGATAAGGAAGGGGCCGAACTGTCCAGGGATTTACAATGTGAACTGGTGAATGTGAATATGTGGAAATTACATATACCTTCATGAAAGTTCACACATGGTATCTGGACTAAGAATTTGCATGGCCTGTTCTCAAAATGCTTATCAGCACAGCATGTAAAGTTATTTTCTGAAGAAACCATGAATCAGAATGTTTCTGTTTTTGTAATATTAACATAAAATCACTGGGATGCTATTTCTACTCCTGAATGGTAATATTCAGAAGTTAGTTTGTAGAAAAATTATTTTTCCAAAACAACTAGGTCATTATTGCATTCAGTCACTGGCACTGATGAATCTTTGTGAAAGCATAACTCTGTTTCAGTGGAAATACAACCCCCATCATAAATTATCTCCTAATGATGACAGATTAATAGAGAATTAATTATCAATTGATTCTATTTTTAAATGAAAATTGATTAGGCATCCTTGGGAAAAGATACTATATATTCAGCCAAAATTAATTGGACTTCTAATAAAGTATCCCTCCAGGTTGAAATAGCATTATTAATTGGTAAATATCTAAAAATGGTAAGAATAAAAAGTATACAAATACATGGTCAAAGAGCTGGAAAAGGACTTCTGTACTATATTTTATCTCTATTTTTTAATAAATGATAAGCAATCACTTATGGCTTTTTAATTGAAGTATAGCTTTAATTCTAAAAGAAAAAGCAAAATCTTCACATGACACGTGTATTTTTATATACATAAGTATGCCAGGTTTTGTAATGACTTTGAAGTTTTATTGCTTTGTTTGTATAGTGACTGGAACAAAATTAAATTTCAGCTGTGAGGTCAAATGCATTGTCTTTACTCAAGTATAGATTACCATGACGGCATGATTAGGTCAAATATGTTAAATGAGTATTAAAAGAATAGCTTTATGACACACAAAAATTGAAAA